CTCCTCCCTGCCTCCCTCCTCCCTGCCTCCCCCTCCCTGCTTCCTGCCTCCCTCCTCCCTGCCCCCCCTTCCCTGCCTCCCCCCCTCCCTCCTGCCTCCCTCCTCCCTGCCTCCCTCCTCCCTGCCTCCCTCCTTCCTGCCTCCCTCCTTCCTGCCTCCCTCCTTCCTGCCTCCCTGCTTCCTGCCTCCCTCCTCCCTGCCTCCCTCCTCCTGCCTCCCTGCCCCCCCTCCCCCCTTTGCCTCCCTCCTCCCTGCCTCCCCTCCTTCCGGCCTCCCTCCTCCCTGCCTCCCCCCTTTCCTGCCCCCCTCTTCCCTCCCTCCCTCCCTCTCCTCCCTGCCTGCCTCCCTCTCCCTCCCTTTGCCTCCCCCCTGGCCCTTCCTGCTTCCTGCCCCCCTCCTCCCTGCCTCCCTCTTCCCTGCCTCCCTGTTTCCCTGCCTCCCTGCCCCTTCCTGCCCCCCTCCTCCCAGCCCCCCTCCTCCCTGCCTCCCTCCTCCCTGCCTCCCTCCTTCCCTGCCTCCCTCCTTCTGTTTTCTCCCTGCCCCCTCCTTTCTGCTTCTCCTCCCCCCTGCCTCCCTCCTTTCTGCTTCTCCTCCCTGCCTCCCTCCTTCTGGCTTCTCCTCCTGCCTCCTCCTTGCCTCCCTTGCCTCTCTCCTTCTGCCTCCCTCCTTCCTGCCCTCTCCCGTTCCTGACCTCCTCTTTCCTGACTCCCTCCTTCCTGCCTCTCCTCCCTGCCCCCTCCTCCTGCCCTCCTTTTCCCTTTGCCTCTCTTTTTTCCCCCTTTCCCCTCCTTCTGCTTCTCCTCCTCCCTGCCTCCTTCCCCCCACCTTCCCCCTCCCCCCCCTCCTCCTCCCCCCCTTTCCCACCTTCCCTCCCCTTTCCACCTCCCCCCCCACCCTTCCCTCCAACTTCCCCCCCCTCCCTCCCACCTCCCTCCCCCCTTTCCCTCCCCCTCCCCCCACCCCCTCCCACCTTCCTCCCACCCCCTCCCCCCCCTCCCCCCCTTCCCCTCCCCTTCCCCTCCACTCCCCTCCCCCCCCCTCCCCCTCCCCCCCCCCCTCCCCCCTTCCCCCCCCCTTCCCTCCCCCTCCCCTCCCCCCCTCCCATTTCCCCTCCCCCTCCCCTCCCACCCCCTCCCCCCCTCCCCCCTTCCCCCCCCCTCCCCCTCCCCCTCCCTCCTTTCCCTCCCCTCCCTCCCCCTTCCCCTCCCCTTTTTCCTTTTCCCCCTTCCCCTCCCCCTTTCCCTCCCCCCTCCTCCCCTTTTCCCCTCCCCCTCCCCCCCCCCTTCCCTCCCCCTTCCCTCCCCCTTTCCCCCCCCTTCCCTCCCCCTTCCCTCCCCTTCCCCTCCCCCCTTTCCCCCTTTCCCCCTTCCCCTCCCCCTTCCCCTCCCCCTTCCTCCCCTTTTCCCCCCCCCCTCCACCTTCCCTCCCCCCTTTCCCCCTCCCCCTTCCCTCCCCCCTTTTCCCTCCCCCCCTTCCCCCCCCACCTTCCCTCCCCCCTTTCCCCTCCCACCTTCCCCTCCCCCCTTTCCCCCTCCCACCCCCCCCCCACTTTCCCTCCCACCTTCCCCCCCACCTTCCCCCCCCCTTTCCCTCCCACCCCCCCTCCCCCTTTCCCCCCCCCTTCCCTCCCCCCCCCTCCCACCCCCCCTCCCCCTTTCCCCTCCCCCTTCCCCCCCATTCCCCCCACCTTCCCCTCCCCCCTTTCCCTCCCCCTTCCCCCCCCACCCCCCCTCCCCCCTCCTTCCTCCCGCCTTCCCTCCCACCTTCCCCTCCCACCTTCCCTCCCACCTTCCCTCCCACCTCGCCATTCTTCCTCATTTCCTCCCCACTAATAATTAACGTGGACAATATTTCTCACTGGTCAGGTAATTTGCGCATCACTAATTCAGTGTCTGAACTAATGAAGATAACTATGTAGCCCCCTTTGTGGTGTGTGTGTGTGTGTGTGTGGTGTGTTGTGTGTGTGTGTGTGTGGTGTGGTGTGTGTGGTGTGGTGTGTGGTTGTGTGTGTGTGTGTGTGTGTGGGGTGTGGGGTGTGTGGTGTGTGTGTGTGTGGTGTGTGTGTGGTGTGTGTGTGTGTGTGTGTGTGTGTGTGTGGTGTGTGGTGTGTGTGTGTGTTGTGTGTGGTGTGTTGTGTGTGTGTGTGGTGGTGTGTGTGTGGTGTGTGTTTTGTGTGGTGTGTGTGTTTTGTGTGTGTGTGTGGTGTGTGGGGGGTTTGTGTGGTGGGGTGGGTGTGTGGTGGTGTGTGTGTGTGTGGTGTGGGGTTGTTGTGTGTGTGTGTTGTGGTGGGGGTGGTTTGGGGTGTGGTGTGGGTTTGTGTGTGTGGTGTGTGTGTTTTGTGTGTGTGTGTGTGTGGTGTGTTTGGTTGTGTGTGTGTGTGTGTGGGGTGTTTGTGTGGTGTTGGGGTTGTGTGGTGGGGTGTGTGTGTGGTTTTGTGTGTGTGTGTGTGTGTGTGTGGTGTGTGTGTGTGGTTGTGTGGGGTGTGGTGTGTGGTGTGGTG